GGTTGTTGGAAGGGGAGAGGGTTAGAGAGAAGGGAGTAGGGGAGGAATGGGGAAAGCTAGGTAGACTGGGATGGGGGGAGGGAGGAAGGATGGATATGAGATCAGGGAAGAATACATTTCAACTAAGGGAGTCATTTTAGGGTTTACAGGAGACTTGATTATAAATGGGATCCCAGGTCCAAAAAGAGATCCCCAGATTGTTCTCTGAACAGAAGAGAGGGTGCCTGAAACGGCCTAGGCCCATAACCATACTGATGAATATTTTGCTTATCAGCATAGAACCTTCATCTGGCGATGGATGGAGATAGAGACAGAGTCCCAGTGTTTTCTATTTGCCCTCTATTAACACGTTAGACTGCCATGAACTTTACCCTTCCCCAGCAGATTTCCTTGCTTGGAATATAGTAGCCAATAATCCCTTGAAACTCCTGGTTTTTGATGTTACCTAAGAAGAGAAAGATTTTTGACAAATTAGTAATGGAGAGGATCATAATATTTCTTTTTAATAAAAAATACATTGTTTTATAGTATTGGCTAGCATGAAACACGCTATATTGTCCAAACTGGTCTGGAACTTTCTATTTAGCTCAGGCCGAGCTTGAATTTATGGCAATCCAACTGCCTCTAACTCTCAAGTTCCAGGATTACAGGTATGCATCACCACACCTGGGTTTGGATCCTACTATTTGATAGTTTTGAATAACTCCTAGGTAATTTCTATTTTAATTTTTCACACAAATGCAAGAGAGAGTATGTGCAGTTAACACAAAAGATACAATCTTCAAGATTTTAATCATTATAAGGAATAACTGTAATGATCTCAATAGATTTACTTTGTAAAATAATGACATTATTATTATTATTATTACCTATATATTATTATTATCGATAGCTTGAAAAATTGCAGAGCATTGGCTAATTACATTTGGAACAACTGGTAACTCACACGATCAGTTACAAAACCTGAGATTTATATGAATCCTAGTGTTTGGTACCAATACTGCAGCCACTTCGAGTTAGTAGGATACATTCATGTTTATTATTATATACCTGGGAATCACCACCAGTGGAATCAACTGGGATTAAAATGTTTTAAAGGCAAGCTAGAATAAATGTCAATAAGAATAGCAATTCTTTTGTAATGAATCCATACACAATATTATGAGTAGTTTTCAAGTTTTTTAGTGCGAAATATATTAAGTACACATAAATAGGGTATCAGAGTATTATTATAAAGAATCTATTTTTTTTGAGGAAGTACGCCATTGAGACAGGTTTTGAGAGTTCACAGCCTCACCACCCTTCCCTTTTGCCTTCCTTACTTTGTGGTTGCTGTTGATGATGTAATCTTTCAGCTTCCTGCTTTGGCTGTTTGCTCCCATGTCGTCCCATTCATTACAGATTTTACCCCTCTGAACCACAGAAAATAATCTTTCTCCTAGAAGCTGCCTTAGTTATAGTATTTTATCACAGTGCAGAAAATGACTGACATTTATAGCTTGGTGGCCCACAGTAAAGCTAAAGGTAACTGACATTCACCACTCCCGATGGCATCTGTGTTGTGACTCATTTTCTTTTCCTTAAAGGCAGTCACTTTCCCTGGCTTCTATGGTTAAGCATCTCTTAGCTCTTCTTTATTGTATTATTGCTTAAGAACGAACTCCTAGATATAACTGCTTTGTTTTGAATTCTCTGTGCTTCATATGATAGCACACATACACCACATATTTTTTAATCTATATTTTTCACTCAAATACATTGTAATCTGTAGCCATATATTACTAATTTCTAGTGTGTAGTTGTTTCTGCGGTTGTGGGCACAGAGCAGGGCATCTAGACTTGCAGACTGCGCCCACCACACAGTGGACTTGTATCAACAGGTAGCTGCAGAATAACAGCGTATGACTGTTAGCTTAGTTCATAAAGGGCAACACGCTCTTCATCTCAGTGTTTCCAGTGTCATTTTATGTGAGGGAAGCTAGCACCCGCATTGTGACAACAAGATTTCCATGTAGCAGCAAACTGTCAACAGCCATGTGGATGAATCTCTTTCAGAGCAGATCCACCAGGACCAATGAGACATCAAATGATTCCACACTATGAGAGACACTGGACCAGAAACACTCAGCTAAGCCATGGAAATTATGAGATAATAGGTGGTTACTACTGTTTGACTACTGTCTTCTTTTTTTTTTGGTAATTTATTATACAGCAATAAATATATATCCAGTTTGGAACCATTATATGCATATAATTTGATTTGAACATTGTCTACATTCTGGTATTTTTGTGAAATTAATTTCTAAGAATGTATTGTTGGGGCACAATGCTAGATACCACAAAAAATTTCAAGTCTTTTTTTATCCTGTCAGCCATAGATTCGTGTGCTAGTTCTTGGTGTGGTTAGTCACCTACATGTTAACTGTCTTAATGATGGACTTGCATTTCACTGCAAGGCTTAGTTTGTATTTCCTAAGTGACAATAACACCTTATATGTGTACTGACTACTTTGGTTATTTCTTACAGTGTAAAAATCACACTCTCCAAAGCCTTCGGCTTCTAGCCTGCTGAAGTACTGAAGTGACCACTGGCTATGTCCAGTCTGGCTATGGAGAGTGTGCAGTCTTGTTAATGGCAGTGGTTTCAGTCTACTTGCTTATATTTTGAACTTCCTGAAAGACGCTGTCACTCAATTTTTGTTATAACATTGTCTGTGTGTTTTCAGTCTTTCTATTCATGAGCTCTATTTTGTGTGTACATGTAAAATCTCAAGATTCAATACTAGGATACCATAAACATTTGCCACACCATAGTCATTTGGTTTTAATTTCAGTGAACATAATTTTCACCTGTGAAGTTTTTACTTTTTTGAAAATTGTATTTGATCCTTTTTCATAAAAATTCTTTACCAAAACATCACATATACAAATTTTCTTTTTGGAGCCAGCATTCTCTATATAAGCCTTAAACTCACTATGCAGCCCAGGCTGGCATCACACTCATAGAAATCCATCTGCCTCTGCATCCTGACTGCTGGGATTAAAGGCCACAAATACTACACTCAGGCCACAAATAATATTTTTAAGGTCTTGTACATAATTTTAGTGAACCTAAAAGAAGAGGCCATATTTTACAATTCATTTTATGAGAGGAGATAACATTGATTCCCAAATTAAGCAGTACTAGTAACAGGAAAGGAAAATTAGACCAATACACTTCGGAGCACAGATGCACACATTAATCAAATATTAGCAACTCGAATCTATAAATGCTTAAAAATAGAATACATCACAAGCAAGTGAGATATATTCTAGGAATAAAAAGTTGACCAACATTTAAAATCAATGTAACTGTCCATAATAAGATGAAAAAAGTATGTAATTATAAAATTCAATGCTCATAAATAATTAAGAGTCATGGTAACTTAGGAAAAGAATAGCATTTCAAATAATCTACCTTATTAACTTTGTCCAACTGTGGTACCGGAACCGAACCCAGGGCTTCACACATATTACACAAGCACTGCACCATCAAGCCATACTACATAGTCAGTTTTTACCTTTTGTTTTGAGAATCAGGTCACCCAAGCTGGCCTTGAACTTGTGATTCTCCTGCCACAGCTTCCTGAATAGCTGGTTACAAGTTTATACCACCAGACCTGGTTTCCTTATATACTTTTAATAGTCTTCTATGTCTTGATTCCAGGTATAGAAATGAATTCATTCTTTAAGTCCTATCAATTTTTGCTTCACATATTTAAATGCTCTTTAAGGACTGATATGCATTCTTGCAAAATTGATCCTTTTACCATACCGATGACAGTAACTACTGAAGTTGAAGACCTTTTGCTATAGTTTGAATGTTTTCCCTTGGAACTCATGTTGAAGTTTAGCTGCCATTTTAATGGCGTATAGATGTGCAGCCTTTGGGAGGTCATTAGATGAGCTCATGGGGATGTGTCCCCTAGGATGACATCAATGGCTTTATGAGAAGAGGGAAATAGATGAGTGTTATCAGTCAGGTTTGTTCTGTCTCCCCATGTGACTACTTGTGCCATATTATGACAGAGAGGGAAGGTCGTTTTCCAGACTTGGGTGGATGCAGGATCTTTAACTTTCCGGCATGCAGAACTATGAGCAAAGCAAACTTCGTTCCCTTCTAAACTACTAAATGTCAGGCATCTATTCACAGCAATAGAAAATTGACTAAGATGTTAATCAAGCCAAAAATATTAAATGGCATGTCACATCTCTGCCTAGTGATCAGAATACAGTAGTGGAACCAGAAAGAAACAGAATCCTGGGTCAAATGATGGTATTAGGGTGTGTACCATGTGGATGGTGATGTGCTAACTGAAGCTAGCACATAAAATACAGGGAATAAATAATCTCAGACCAGTAAAATCAACAGAAGGAAACTTTCTCTCTTTTTCTTTCTCCATCACCACTACAAATAACAACAAAATAACAAGAATCAACAAACATTGGTCATTGATATCCCTGAATATCAGTGGTCTCAATTCTCCAATAAAAAGACAAAAATCTTTTTGGTTAAAAAAACCAAAAATCACAAAAGATAGGTAGGACACTGGATAGTCATCAACGGACTTAACATCTATGTCTCAAATACAAGGGCATCCATATTTGCAAAAGGAACACTACTACACTGTAAATCACATACTGATCCTCACACGGTTAGTGGGAGACTTCAATATCCCTCTCTCACCAATCAACAGGTCATCCAGACAAAAACTACAGAGAAATGCTGAAGCTAGCAGACATTATAAACAAAATGGACCTAATGGATATTTACAGAGCATCTCACCCGAGCACAAACAAATACATCTTCTCCTCTGCATCTCATGGAACTTTCTACAAAACTGACCATACGCTTACACAGAAAACAAATCACAACAGATACAGCAAACTGAAATAACTCTCTGCAGCCTGTCAGAGCACCAAGGATTAAAGCTGGACAGCAACAACAGAGACAACAGAAAACTTAGACTCATGGAAACTGAACAACTTTTTACTGAATGAAAACTGGAAATTAAGGACTTTCTAGAATTCAATGAAAATAAAAGCATAACAAACATAAACTTATGGGATACAGTTCATTGTGTGGTGCTAATAGGAAAGTTTATAGCAGTGAGTACCTACAGAAAAATCTAGCAAGAACTCATAGGAGCAACTAAATAGTATGCCAGAAAGCTTTAGATCATAAATAAGAAATCACACCCCAAAGGAGTAGATGGCAAGAAAAAAAAATCAAACCCAGGGCTTAAATCAATAAAATAGAAACAAAGAGAACAATACAAGGAATCAACGAAACAAAGAGTTGATTCTTTGAGAGAATCAACAAGATAGAAAAAACCTTATCCAAACTAACTAAAAGATACAGAGAGAATATCCAAATTAACAAAATCAGAAATTAAAGGGGGGCATAACAAGAGACATAAAGGAAATTCAGAGAATCTTAAGGATATACTTTAAAAACCTGTACTTCACCAAATTGGAAAGTCTAAAAGAAAATTTCATAGTGGGTACCACTTACCAAAGTTAAATAAAGATCAGATAAGTGATTTAAAGAAAGCAGTCATTAAAAGTCTCCCAACCGAAAAGCCCAGGGCCATATGGCATATGGTTCTAATACAGAATTCTACCATATTTTCAAGAAGAGCTAATGCTAATACTCCTCAAATTATTCCACAAAATAGATACAAAAGGAACATTTTCCAATTCATTTTATGAGGTCACAGTTACTCTGAAAGTGAAACCATATAAAGACCAAACAAAGAGAATTATAGACCAATTTCATTTATTAACTTAGATGCAAAAATACTAAATAAAATATTTGCAAACTACATTCAAGAATACACCAAAAAGATCATCTGCCATGATCAAGTAGGCTTCATCCCAGAGATGCAGGGATGGTTCAATATATGAAAATCAATAAATATAATTCACTATATAAACTTAAAGAAAAGGACACATGATCATTTCGTTAGATGCAGAAAAGGCTTTTGACAAAATCCAATACTCCTTCATGATAAAAGTCCTAGAGAAACTAGGGATACAAGAGGCATACTTAAACATAATAAAGTCAGTTTTCAGCAAGTCTATAGCCAACACCAATTTAAATGGAGAGAAATTCAAAGCAATTCCACTAAAATCAGTAACATGACCAGGTTGTCCACTCTTTCCAAACCTACTCAATACAGTACTTGATGTCTTAGCTAGAGTAATCAGAAAACTGAAGGAGACCAGGGGATTCAAATTATACAGAAAGAAGTCAAAGCATCTTTATTTGGAGATGATATGCTAGTATGCATAAGCAACCTTAAAAATTCCATTCAGAGAACTCCTACAGCTGATGAATCACTTTCAGCAAAGAAGCTGGATACAAAATTAACTCATAAAAATTAATAGCCCTCCTAATACAAATAAAAAATGGTCTGAGAAAGGAATCAGGGAAGTGACACCTTTCACAATAGCCTTAAATAATAATAATAATATAAAGCCTCAAATAATATTTTATATTTATATATTATAGTTGAGGTAACTAACCAAGCAAATGAAAGGCTTATATGATACAAACTTTAAGACTTTGAAGAAAGAAATTGAAGAAGATATCAGAAGATGGAAACAGCTCCCATTTTCATGGATCATTATGATTAATATAGTAAAAATGGCCACCCTACCAAAAGCAATCTACAGATTCAGTTCAACCCCCTTCAAAATTCCAATACAATTTTTCAATTTAAAATTGAAAGACAATTTTAAGCTTCATATGGAAAAAAGTAGGATAGCTAAAACAATCCTGAACAATAAAAGAACTTCTGGAGGTCTCACCATTACTGATTTGAAGCTCTATTACAAAACTATAGTAATAAAAACAGCACTGTATTGGCATAAAAACAGACATGATCAATGGAATTGAATTGAAGACCCCGAACATAAATAAATCTACACATCTATGGAACCTGACTTTTGATAAAGTAGCCAGAGACACTGGAAAAACCCAGCATCTTCAACAAATGGTGTTGGTTAAACTCGATGTCTGCATAGAGAATAATGCACATAGATCCATGCTTATCAGCTCTCGCACAACTCAAGTCCAAGTGGATCAAATACCTTAACATAAAACTAGATACAATGAACCTGATAGAAGAGAAAGTGGGGAATACCCTTGGACTCACTGACACAAGAGAAGACTTTCTGAACAGAACACCATTAGCACAGGCAGGCACTAGAATTAACAGTTAACAAATGGGTTTTCATGAAACTGAAACACTTCTGTAAGTCAAAGGACAGAATCATCTGAACAAAGCAGCAGTCTACAGCATAGAAAAATATTTTTACCAACTCCACATCTTATAGAGGGCTAATATTCAAAGTATATAAAGAATTAAGAAAACCTAGATAGCAAGAAAACAAACAACCCAATTAAAATGGGGTACATATTTAAACAGTGAATTCTTAAGAGAGGAAATACATGGCTGAGAAATTTTTAAAGCAACGTTCAATATCCTTATCCATCAAGGAAATTCAAATGAAAACTACTTTGACATTCCATCTTACACCTGTTAGAATGGCTACAATCAATAAGACAAATGACAGCTCATACTGGTGAGTATGTGGAATAAGGGAGACACTTATTCATTTCTGGTGGGAGTGCAAATATGTACAGTCACTATGGAAATCCATATGGAAATCAGTATGGTAGTTCCTCAGAAAGATGGGAATTGATCTACCTAGCGATCCAATGACATCACTCTTGGTCATATATTCAAAGGACCCCTCACCCTACTACCAGGATACTTCTCAACAACATGTGCTGTTGCTCTATTTACAGTAGCTAGTAATTAGAAACAACTTAGATGTCCCTAAAACAGAAAGAAAATGTGGTCCATTTATACGATGGAGTATTACTCAACTGTTTAAAAAATAACATCATGAAATTTGCAGGCAAATTGATGAAACTAGAAAAGATCGTCCTGAATGAAGTGACCCAGACCCAGAAAGGTAAAGACATGTATTCGCTTATATGTGGATATTAGCCTTTAAATAAATGATAACCCAGCTACAATCTATAGACCCAGAGAGGTTAGGCACAGAGGAAGGGACTAGGCCATGGATCTCCCTTGGAGAAGGACACAGATTTTATTGGTAGACTGGGTGCTGTGGGAGGTGTGGAAAGGGAGGTTCAGGTCGGGAGAGGGAGGGAAAATAGGGTTGAAGAAGAGGATGTAGGGAGAGATAGCTAGAATTGAAGGGCATTTGAGGGTTGGTATGGAAACCAGAGGAAGCTTTCTAAAATATATGAAGGCGATTCTAATGAAGTACACAAATAGTGAGGGAGACCAAGTCCCAGGTGGTCATCTCTGTAATCAAATGAACCTGGACTGGGTTATATCCATTTGAGTTCTTGGACAAAAGGGTCCCAAGAAAATCTTCAAACAACTCAGGCTGTTGCCAAGACAATAGGTTGCTCTCTACAAACTGACAGCCAGGCCTCATTGCTGAAGACAAACTTCACTTAACACATTAAACACGGAGAGGTTGGGCTGGTGCCTACATAGAACCTTCACCACCACGTTCTAGTGTCTTGGGTACAGGAAGGTACTCTGCAGACTACCAAAAGAGAAATGTAAACACCAACCTAGCCACAAAACCTTTGATCTACAGTGCACCTAGGGCAATGGTGGCACAGAGTATATGGAGTAACTTAAGGTTCACTACATGAGATATCAACTTGACACACAAACTAGAGTCATCTGAAAGGAGGGAAATGTAATTGAGAAAATGCCTCCACAAGATCCAGCTGTAAGGCATTTTCTTAATTAGTTATTGATTGGAGGAGGGCCCAGTCTGTTGTGGGTGGTTCCATTCTGGAGTGGTGGGCCTGGGTTCAATAAGAGCAGGCTGAGCAAGCAATGGGGAGCAAGTCACTAAGCAGCACCCCTCCAAGGCCTCCGCATTGACTTCTGCCTCTAGAATCCTGCCCCGTCTGAGCTCCTGGCTTGAGTTCCTTCAATAATGGACAACATTATAGAAGTATAAGTCAAATAAACACTTTCCTCCCCAACTTGCTTTTTGGTCATGGTGTTCTATTGCAGCAATAGAAATCCTACTAAGACAGAACTCATACCTGACATTGCTTGAGTGACCAAGAACTAGACAGTAGTTGCTCAGAGACTTAGGGCAAAACCAAATACTACTGATCTTAAAAAAGTAGCAATAAAATGACTTATACTGATATTTTGCTACAGTCAAGGATCAGTGCCCTGCTCAGCCATGATCAAAGAAGCTTCCACCTGCAGCAGATGAGAACAAATACAGAGACCCACAGGCAGACATGCAGAGAGAGAGACAGACCTTGGAACACTCAGCCCAAAATGGGAAGTCTCTATCAAATCCTTCCCTGCAGAGTTTAGGGACTCTGCAAAAGAGGAGGTGGAAAGACTGTAAGAGTCAGAGGGGAGTAAGGACACCAGGAGAAGGGTCTCTGAATCAACTGAGCAGGGCTCTTATGAACTCACAGAAACTAAGGTAGTAGGTACAGGGCCTGCATATATGTTATGTTCCCAATTCAGTATTTTTATGGGACTCTGGAGTGTGTTAAAGAGTGGGTCTCTGATTCTTTTGCCTTCTCTTGGGGTTCTTTTCCCTCTGTTGGTTTGCCTTGTCCAAATTTCATGTGATGGTTTTTGTTTTACCTTGTATTTTATTTTATTATGTTTGTTATTTCTTAGAAGCCTAATGTTTTCTAATGAGAGACAGAAAGGGGGATCCAGATGGAGGGGAGGTGGGAAGGAACTGGAAAGAGTAGAGGGAGGGGAGACTGTAATCAGGATGTATTGTATGAGAAAAGAATCTATTTTCTATAAAAAGAAAAAATAAAAAAATTAAATTAATTCTACATATTGATTCATACTAGCAACTTTAGCTTATTGATTTTTTTCAAGAAACTATTGAGAACCTCCGCTATTCAGTGAAAATGTCTTAGTAAACAACAGGGATAAATTCATAGAAATTATTAAAATGAGCTTAGTATAAGGGTTCAATAAATATGAATAATTCAATGAAATCTATAACTGAAAACATGTAGCAGGACATTGAATATGACTTAATATAATAGTCATGAATCCATCACAGCTATGTTACCTGGGAAAGTTGTTTCAATGAATTTTTTGAACTCTGCTACTTTATCTTCATTCTCAGCAATATTGATCTTTACTGTTAGAGTGTACACATGACCAAACCGCTTTCTGACATGCTGGGGGCTGCCTAGACATGTAAACCTCCCGTTTACCATGATGGCCAGCCTCGTACAGAGTGCCTCACATTCTTCCATTCTAAAAAGAAAAAGAAAATATTCTGAGGAGACTCTTTCAGGAATAAATAGAAATAGCTAGGATTGGAACACTTAGAACTGGAAACCTTGGCATTACAGGTGGTCATGACTAAGATCATATGGGACAGGGACATTTGGAAACTTACAGCAGTACATACCCAAGCCCTCACTAAGTTGCCTAACTAGTATTTTCTCTCAGTTCTTGATTCCATCAGTTAACTAAGCTCTCATTTAGCAGGTTCACACACAGCTGTTTCTCTGTAGCTCCTATGTATTCTTAGGTAAGCTTAACTGACTCATAGTCTTGACTGAAATTTATTTCATCCCACACCAATTGTAGCAACTTCCAGTTTCTAACCAAGCTTCCAATGGCTCTTACCTGTGAGAAGTTATGATGACAGCTTTACCAGTCTTACAGATCCATGTAACTGTGTCCCATAGCAGATGCTGAGCTACTGGGTCCATGCCAGTAGATGGCTCATCCAGTAAGACAACTGAAGACTTTCCCATTAGGGCAATAGCAGTACTTAGCCTACGTTTGTTTCCACCACTCCATAATGTGAAGAAGAAAGAGTAATATATGTTATTAATTCATAGGACTGTTTTTACATGTAGAATTCTGTGATATGATTCAAACTGACGATTCGTGTGTGTGTGTGTGTGTGTGTGTGTGTGTGTGTGTGTGTATCTCCATGGAGATACAGGGACTTTTTTTTTAAATGCAAAGATTGCTCTGAAACATGCAAAAGGCTAACACCATTCAAGTGGGATATATTGTTTTCCTGATGTCTGAGCCTTGGCAGAGAGCCAGGTTGTTTCACAGTCACTGTCTCCATGTGCCAGAGAGGTAGAAATGGGCTTTGTGGGCATTCACTCTAAACAGAAAACGTATAAGGATAGGTCACTTATAGCAACAACACAACGTCTCACCTGTATGTGTGGATAAGCTGGTCAGCAATGGGTTCCAGGTACACTGAATGAAGAAAGGTTCCCACATACTCTTCAATGTTTTGCTCTGGAACTCCCCACAGCCTGGAGTACATGATCAGCAGTTCCCGGCCTGTCATGTGGTTCAGCACAGATTCGGACTGAGGACAGTAACCAATTCTTGACCTAATCTGAATCAAGAGGGTAATTATGATCCTTGTCAGCTATTCTACGGAGCCTAAATCTCAAAGGGATGAGGTATAAGATGTGAAGCTATTTAACTCACACTACTAAGAAATCTGATACTTCTACAACTTCCACTAAGAATGGTTTGCTCTTTTGCCTTCACCATCTTTACAGATGGAATTCAATGAAGTAAAATAAGGTATCAATATCACCACTAGCTGGAATTATACATATCTCTATATATTTCTGTATATTATATATAAATATAAATATAAAATCATATTACTATGATGTGCCTCAAAAAGGCCTTTGTTTGAGTGTTTAAGAGAGAGTGAGCATTGTTAATATCCTTATTAAAAGTATTTTGTTTACAGTAATGGTCCAGTAACTTCTGTCAGATCAACTCTCTCACAGATAGGAATTATAAGCTGCCTCTCAATATACATATAAAAAAGTATATAGGAGTATATATTTTTGTGTATTTAGCCAAGTTAATGCTAAAATAATTAAGCCAACATATCACTTCATAACTAATATGTAGTAAAATTTATGTAGAGTGTGAATTCAGCCATTTCAAATGCTTGTTAAAATACTTAAAGGAATATAACAGAATTAAAACTCTCCCAATGCATTATTAATAATATCCAGGATATAATCTAAAATTAGTTGGCAAAAGATGTATGCAAATTACCCACACTTCAGTGAGCACAGTAGAAACTGGCACTCAAACAGCCATAATACTGGAATAATCAGATACAAATTTGGAAGAAACTCTTACAACTATGTTTAAACGAGGACAATGAAAAAGTTTGTCATTTAGATGAGTAAGAACACATCATAGAAAACAAAACCACGATAAAAAAACAAATGGAAAATTCTGAACTAAAACTTATGTTTGAGGGTTGGGGAGGTGGCATAGTTGGTAACATGCTTTCTACCCAAGCCTGAGGACTGAAGTTCAGACGCCTAAGTCCTCACATAAAAAGCTGGGCATGGCAGTAGTGGGGCCAGGTAGATCCTGAAGGCTTCTGGCCGGGAAACCTAGCCAAGTGGTGAGCTCCAGCTTCAATAAGACACTGCCTCAAGAATTAAGGTAGAGAAATGACTGGGGAAGATACTTGACATTGACCTCTGACCTTTCCAAGCACAAACATGCATCTGTATCCACACACGTGTACATTCATATGAACATGTACACAAAAATAAAGTAATTATGTCAGGAATAAAAACTTTACCATGTAGTATTAACTTGAGGTTGGATGTAATTTGAAGAGAGAACAATATAAACTAATCATCATGTGTATGTCTAGAAAATATGTAGGAAAATAAAGAGAGTCACAGGACCTCTGGGGTGCTGGATTAAAGGAATGAGCATATGTAGAAACAGATCCAGGAAAAACAGGCAAATGTGTACTTTTGTTTTTGAGTGTCTCTGACTTGAAGAATCATAAGCGATAGGGAAAATATTAACAATTAAGAAATGTATAAAAGACACAAATAGACTATTTATAGGAAAGGTATCTTTTAAGTATTTCCTAAAGTTATTTAATTCTACTCATAAGAAGGAAAACAAAAAAACTGCTCAAGTAGCATTTTTTAAAATGGACCACACCAAAAACAAAATTGAAAAGATGGGTCAAATAATGTGTTGTGGTAAGTGCAGGGGAACAGACAATGTACGTATTCATATCCAGGGGAAGCAGTTTGCTAAGGCTGAGAAGATGGTGTTTGGTACACAGCCAGATCCCCAATAAAATGAAGACAAACCTTTATAGCTGACTGTATGTCAAGGGGGTTTGTAGAATGACAGTGGTTACTGCTTTTACCCAGGAAGGCCGTAAGCAAAGTTAGGGACAGAAGGTACGAGACTTGCTAACTGTACACCACTTACATTGGTTTCACCCAGTCCTTAAGTAATGAATACCTTCTTTGTTCAGTTTTGTTGGTATATATTTCTGGACTCTCTGTCCTGCCTGGAGGTAAGTATGCTCTAGTTGCTGAGTTACAGCTTTGCCTTGGTTCTCTACTGACACCCCAGGTGTAGTTCTTCACTTTCCCTTGGTTGCATATGCAGCTTTCTTCAGACCTGTGTGTGCTTTTATCCCCACAGCCTGACTTGTCTATGTGTCACACCACTGTGCCAGGCCTCAGAGAACTTCACTGGACACTTAATGGGTTGAAAACACCCAAGAACACCAGTCAATCTCTTTCTCAAAAGTTTAATTCTTACCTTGCTTGAGAGAGAAATTTTTTTTAAATATTTATTTATTTGCTTATTATGTATACAGTATTCTTTCTTCAGTCCAGAAGAGGGCACCAGGCCTCATTTCAGATGGTTGTGAGCCACCATGTGGTTGCTGGGAATTGAACTCAGGACCTTTGGAAGAGCAGGCAATGCTCTTAACCTCTGAGCCATCTCTCCAGCCCCCAAGAGAGAAAATTTTATCCAGATTTTCCCTCTAACTTTTCATTTCTTCTCCAGTTCTTTTATTCTGCATTTCAGTGTTGATAATTCACCAGAGTCCATATTCTTTCTATTGTACACATTACTTACAGACTACCTCATTTACTTCCACAGTTTAAATTTCATCCATACTTTGATATACCCCAAATTCATATCACTTTCCTATCACAGGTTCATACTGTGAATTGCATGCTCCCACTTAGACATATCAGAGATGCTCAAGATCCAAATGCCCTCCAAACATACTCTCTTAAGATATTTATCGTCTTCACCTTCAGAAGTTCAACTCAGGCACCATCTTCCTTTCTTTTTTTAAAACTCGCATCCTCACAGAGCTGAGTCCTTTCAATTCTCACAACCATTTTTTTCTAATTAGTTGTGTTTCAAAATTGATGTCAGGGCAGGTTAGCTGCAAGAGCTGATCTCCTCCAGGTCTATCTATTTGTAGACACTCAGTCTTTGTTTCACTGGAAAGGGTACTTTCCTGCCCTCAGACTCAGCATGGCCAGGGAGTCTTTTAATTCTAAGAAATGAGAACTTATGGATCATGGTTCTTAGTTTCCCTCCCCTGTTCCTTAATAATTTGCCTGTCTGTCTCCTCCATCAAGATATGAAGTCATGGACTAAGAAAAGACATACCTTTTTTTGATTTTTGGTGACACTCCGGCCGTCGATCAACGCGACTCCAGAGGTGATAGTCTCGATTCCGGTCAGCATTTTAAAGGTAGTAGTTTTTCCAGCTCCATTTAATCCAAGCAATCCAAAGCACTCTGACTTCCTGACTACAAGGGAGATATTTCTCACAGCCTCAACAACAGGACACTTAAAATAAATCTGCGAAAGTTAAAAACAAATGAACTGAGACACTGGTCATGAACTCCAGCTATTCCCTCAGACGCTGAAAGCTGACAAAGCGACACTCTCCCAGAGTCCTCTTCCGTCCAGGCCTCTGCAGAGCTGCAGTGTACCAGTACTGCTGCTGGTCAGTTCAAGGCAGGGAAAAAGCTTAAACTGCAAGGTCAGGAAGTGGCATTACCTTTGAAACTTCATTGAGGACCAGAGGGGTATGCTGGGACCTGAGTAGCAGTGTGCGGACTTTCCTTCTTTCTTCCTGTATGCCTTCATCCTCCTCTTCTTTGCTTCCTTGGTTAGACTCTACAGCCTATATTTTCAGGACAAGGAGTACACACGTGGGCACTCTATAGAGAACTGGTTTAAACCAACAGATTTAAGAATGCTAACGTGTGGGTATAATATCTAAGATATGAGGAAATACTCGAGCAGTTTCTAAGACCCTTTCTCCCCGCTTCCTGAACTCTCACATGCAAACAGACTTCTGGTTGGCTCCATTTTAGAAGAGCAGGGCAGTCAAGGAAAGTCAAAGACAAAACTATGAAACTATTGTTCTGAGCATTCTGTAAGAGCCAGGAGCAGGGATGACTCCAGAGAAACAGTGATCTCTGCACACAGCAGGGCAGCTGCACAGATGAACTCACACAGGTGTGACAATATGCACAGGGCCTGAGCAAGCTCAATCCAGACAAAATCCCAGAGGGAAGTAGGAGTGGAGTGGGAGCAAAATCCCAACTGCAGTTGAGGAGCGTTTGGTTGTTGGTAGCTTCAGAGAGAGGGAGAATTAACTTTCTTTAAGGGTGAGATGCCCTGGTAGGTCGTCCAGACTCCAGTGGAAGACTACACATCCAAGAGTATTTGGGCAGCACACATTGGACCCAGTAGGCTTCAAAAATAAAAAGAGGGCACAAAACTGGGCGTGTATGGAGTGGGGGCTGGATCTGAGTGGAGCTAGGGAAGGGGAGGAATTATCATCAAAACACAGTGTATAAAATTCTCAGAATTTTAGAATAAAAAAGTTTCTATATTTAGAGTGAACAGTATGTTCTTACTAGCGTAAGGACAATTAATTTCAGTTGTAGCTAGTCCAGGAAAAAATGACTTATTTCCTAGAGGACTAAGTCAAGCTAAGATATTTACCCCTCAAACAAGTCATAGGTCTCTTTTAGCGTAATCAAATAACATTTTCTTTAACAAGTAATAGGAATGAGAAAATGTACATTTCTATTTTCTGGCTGAATGTTGCACTTTATTTAAACTATATTTAAAGTCTAATTAGCTACTTACTTCCCTGATGTTTCTGAATTTGTTGTAGAAATAAAAAATAATGTTACGAAAGACCAAGTTCTTCAGGTTCCATGAAACTGTCTCCAGGCACAAAAGCAAGAGGAGAAAAACTAAACCCATGGCAGCCAGCATGACCAGAAACTTCCCAATGCCGTGCTCTCCAAAGCCATACACATCATTCTGAGTATCTGAGGACACAAGGGACACAGCTGCCTTACTTAAAGCCAGCACAGCATTTGAAACAGTGCCAAACAGTAAGACATACAGGAAGAAAGTGATCTTCTGTCTTTGGTTATTTTCGGACACTCATGTAACCAAGGATGGTCTTCAACCTGCTGTGAGTTGAAGATGGTCTGAAATTCTTGACCTTTTTTTACCTCCCAAGTACTAGGTTCATAGGTGTGAATGTGCTCAAGATGAATTTTAAGTTAGATTTAAGAATTATAGTATATAGAAAATAAGTAATTTGTTATTTTCTTTGATCATCCGTGGTTACTTATAGTTGTTATAAAAATTGATCTTTTATTTATTTTCCCTCTAGCTTTTCTGTTCTCCATTTTGACACTGAGGATTGACTCAGGGACTCAGTCATACAGCCAGTCTCTCCCACTAATCTTCATCTCTGGCCTTTCTGCCAGGGTTAGGGAGACAATCTCCCCTCACATGTGATGAACATCTGACCTCATTCTTTTCTGCAAGGCTTATTGCTTGTCCCACCCTAGCTTTGCAGGTGCTCTCCCTCCAGCTCCTTATATCATGGAACACCATTATTCTTTGAAAAGTCTTCTCTTAAGGTGTATACATATACAATATAAGTTTCTCCTTGAGAATTTCTTTCAATGCAAGCTATAATTTTTGTTATGTTGCTTTTGTTTTCATTCATCTATTTTCTATTTCCTATTTTGATTATTTCCTTGAAATTATAATTATTTAAGCATGCATTTAATTTCCATATACTTATTAATTTTTAACATTCTTTTAGTGTTAATTTCTAGTTTCATTCTATTACTGTTAGAGACAATATTTTATATAATTTTGGTGTTTTAAATGTATCCAGACTCATGGATTAAACTGTTATCCTGGGGAATATTGCATGTGAGACTTATTCTGCCATTGTTAGGTTGGGTGCTCTTCATACACTTGCTACATACACTTGCTAGGTCAAATTGGTTTAAGGCGTTAATTATGCTTTCTGTTTCCTTTTTGGGTAGCTTTTCTATCTAACATCCAGTATGGGGCACTAATACTGGACATAATGGCGCACACCTTTAAACTCAGCACTTGAGAGGCAGAGACAGGCAGATTTCTGTGAGTTTCATTGAGGCAAGCCTAGTCTACATAGTGAGTTCCAGGACAGCCAGAACTACAAAGTGAGACCTTGACACAAAAACAACAAAACAAAACCCAAAACAAGCAAACAGAAGTATGGCGCACCAAAGTCTTCAGCTATTAGTATATAACTATCTTCCCTTTAGTTCTACATTTTGTTGAATTTTAATATATTCTTGATGATGTGACATATTTATCTACATAAAAATTTGCTTTTATATCTCATAAAATTTGACATAAGATCTATTTTGCAGCTGGGCAGTGGTAGTGCATGCCTTATCAGCACTCGGGAGGCAGAGGCAGGTGGATCTCTGTGAGTTCGAGGCCAACCTGGTCTACAAGAGCTAGTTTCAGGCCAGGCTCCAAAGCTACAATGAAACCCTGTCTCGAAAAACCCAACAACAGCAAAAAAACCTCAGAAAAGATCTACTTTGCTTTATATTTGTGTACTCAATGAAGTTAAGTCTCAGCTTTTATTTGTATAGAATTCTTTATTCCATTTTATTTTTAACCTACTTGTATCTCTGTATCTAATATAAGTATCTTAAAGACAGAATATACTTGAACTACTCTAAATTCTGAATATGTATGCCTTTTGATTAGAGAATTCAATTCATTTATATGCAAAGTATTGATAGTGACTTGTATCTGTCATTTTTTCATTTGATTTCTATGCCATATGCTTTTTGTTCTTCAGTTCTTCAATGTTTGTCACGTTTTCTACTGTTTTGTTGTTGTAGAACAGTTTGGTTCATTTCTTTTGTGTGTGTGTATGTGTGTGTGTGTGTTACTTTCTTAATGATCACCAACAGGAAATTGCAACCAACATGATTTTCGTTTTAAAAAAAGACTGTGTGTGTGCATTTACAGGTAACTGCAGAGAAGTAAAGTGCGGGATTCATGTGGAGGTGGATAGAGAAAGAGGCGGCTGTGAGCTGTCCATTGTGGGTGCTAAGCATCGATGCGTCCTCTGGAAGAGCAGTGTGGGTATCACTCAGGGCTCAGGTTGCAATTAACATTAAAAATTATGTGAAAAAATTAGTTTGAATTAATTTCAAACTACCTTCAATAGCATGTACACTCAGTTATCATAGTTTTATAAATCTTCCATCATGACTGGGCATGGTAGGTCATGCCTGCAATCGCAGCACTAGGGAGGTAGGAAGTTCAGGGTCATCCTTGTCTACACAGAGAGGTCATTGCCAGCCTGAGCTACATGATAATCTGCTTCAAAGAACCAAAAACAAAGCAAAGGAAAGCAAACAAACAAAAGCCTTAAAGGAGAGCAAAACCAAAACTTTCCCTTATGGTGTTGTTTTCACAGATCATAGTTTTAGGTCCTGTGCAACCACAAGTATAGACTTTACTTACTGTTATAGTACCAGTTTTCTAAAACGCTTCAGGGAAAGCAAACAGATATATTCCAAAATGCAACAACATTTTGATAGTTGCTTTTGTGTGTATTTTATTTTGTTTTGAGACAGGATCTCTCTACATAGCCCTGACTGTTCTGGAATGCACTATGTAGATTAAATCTGCTTATTATCTAATAACTTTTGTTTTCAGTTGATTTTTATTTAGCTTTATTTTTTGGTAGATTATTATACTAGCATAACATTTTCATTTATTTTCAAATATCTTAATTTTCCTTTCTTTATTGGAATATTTTCTTTGCTGGATATAGAACATTTGGCAGTGGGGTTCTGGACTTTTTGAGATACATTTTTGCACGTATCATAGGTTGACTTCAAACTTGGGGTCCTCCTACCTCAGCCTCCCAATTGATTAAGTGTATGCCATCATATCTGGCTGAATATGGAAGTTTTGATTTTTTTCCCTCCATTCCTTTAATTGGGCTAGCCTTTGCTTTCTGGTCTCTATGCATAGTTTCTAGTGAGAAATAAGATGGTACTTTTTTGGGGATCCTTGGAATCACATCATTTCTTGTGGCAGCTTTCATAATTTTTGTTTTGTCTTTGATATCAGATAATGTTATTTCAGCATTTTTCATTGTGGAATATTGAGTTTATTCAGATTGGAGTTGAGGCTTTTGGATGAATTCATTAATGTATCTTAGATACTTTTAAATGTCTTTAAGGTTTTCTTACCCTGATCTCTTCTCTTTTCTTGGTGCTCTGATGATACACAGTGTAAGGCAGTTAATAGGGTTCCACAAATTGTCAAAGCTCTCTCCATATACCTTCTTTTTCCTTTTTGTCCTCTTACAAAGCTCCTTCATTTTCTGCCAGTTGCAACATTCTGCTGAACACCCCAAGTGGAGTCTTTGACTCTGTTCTGTGCATTTCCATCCTGAGGTTGCGGTTTGTCCTTGTATAAGTACTCACCTATAGTGGGGTCTACATTTAGCAAGGGCCCATTCTCCTGTTTTCCTTTAATTTTTGCCTATGGTTTCATACAACTCTGGGTTGATTTAAGACAGTTGATTTAAAGTTGTAATAAGTCCAATTTCTGTTCATTTATTTTTAACCTATGAAGGTTGTTTATTAGTTTAACCCAAAGGCATTTTTGAAAAGTAGGAAGATTATGTTTAATTATCATATGCTTATGATAGTCTCCCTTGTCTCTTGAGCTCCCCCACCCCCCAACAGGTTTTGTTTTTTGAGACAGTGTTTCTCTGTATAACAGCACTGTCTGTCCTGAAACTCACTCTGTAGACCAGGCTGGCTTCAGACTCACAGAGATCCACTGCCTCTGCCTCCAGAGTGCTGGGATTAGAGATGTGCCACCATACCTGGGGTCTTTTAATTTTTTTGTGGGGTGGTAATTGACTGCTTTAAGTTTTACTTGTTTATAATGCTTTATAAACTACTTTTGAAAAAAATTATCTTTATTGTGTTTCGTCACTGAATATTCCATTATATTAGTGGTCAGATATTGATCTGACAGTATAATCTCAAATGTTTGGGGACAATAAAAAAGGAGGGGAAAAAAAGCACTAACATATTAAAATTAGTTGTGAGTTGAAGTCATTCCTCTAACACTTAAGTAGTCTTTGTATAATCCTCTGGTCCTTTACTTTTTGCTTACACCAAACTTACTATCTCATAATCTAATCAAAATAAGATTAATTAGGTTCCAATTCTGGATCTATGTGGCACTTTCTCATTTTAAGTAGGACCTTAACAAATTATCTTCCATTCCTATTGTAAGCATTGCAGCTCAGATTTCCATCCTGGCAGTTGAGAGCTAAGGAATACCACAAAGTCGCCATAAACATCACAGCTTATAGCCCTGCTACAAGAAGTTTTCCCAGTGCAAGTCTAACTGTTCTGCTCTGGCAGGGGAGGGTTTTCCCAGTGAAGCTGTTACATTCTGCTCTGGAGAAGCGGTACAGCTCTGCTCAAGTCAAAGTGCTACAGCTATGCTCCACTAGGGAAATTTTCCCCAGTGAGAGTGGTACAGTTCTGCTTGGCTCCACTCTGCTCCTCCACTCTGCGCTGGTGGAAGTTGTTACAGCGGGGCTCTAGGGAAAATGTCATGTCATTACACAAGTAACCTCACTAAAGAGATTCACTGGGAAGAAAGAATCCAAGAGAGTGGTTGTCTCAGCAAACTCAACAGGGTATAGGCTTTTGAGGGAGTGGTGGAGCTTTCTAGGGTGGATTTGGATTGGTGGATTTTTGTAGTTTGCCTCTGGTGTAAACCCAGGGATTGGTGCAATTTCAAGACATGGTCCTGGGGTCAAGTCAGGGGTAGGGCTTTTTTTTCCTTGGCCCTTTTCACCCTATCACACCTTCTTCACACTAGTCCTTCCTAGACTCTTGTGTGCTCTTTCTTTCTTGACTACGTCTTGACATTTACCCTCGGTGACTATAGTTACTCTGCATCTTTAAATTCA